AGGGGGTAATAAATGATCTTCCGAGGATTAAAGCACACAAACACAATACAAGATAACAAGTAATCCCTACCGCGTGTGCAAATCGGACGGGCTCATCTTAACAGCAGAACACCTCGAACGTTAATTTTACCGGTTTGCTCACATTGTTGACCATGCAACTGAAGGGGAAGAGTTTGTTGATATGCGAGTCTCGACAAGGACATAAAACTGTTTGTAAGTCTCCATAAGAACAAACGAGATGTTCAGTGAGTTTTGTTTGTCAGGCACCAAACCATGCTAGTATAAACATGTAGACCGATAACAAGATTTTTATGAGTGAGTGACTGTTAGTCAGCGACTAGTCCGTTCGAAATCACCGGTAGAAATGTTTTTTTCCAAATTATTTCTGTTTTGTATTGCATTTACATTTTTCGCCACATATTTCATGTGTCATCAGTGCTGATTGTCTGTATGGGGGTAAACTCAAATCTCCTGTACTTCCACCTTCACCGAAGGGTCTCCTTATACTGAGGGCAACAAGACTGACTGCAGTTGACTGTTCCGTCCCGGGTTTTATGCAAATTGATGACGTTTTCATTCAAAAATCCTCCGCGGATATTTAGTGCATTTCAATAGACAACTTGATGAAATTTTATATGATTGAAAATAATCTCGTGTGAGTGTGTATGCATAATGGGAACGGGGGTGGGGTGGGGGTTGAGAGGGGCTAATCTGAAATCTCTCGTGAGAGGCAACAAGGATCCAATGGTATCGATCATGCTTTGTTCTTCGTAATGTTTGCGCGCACAGCTCGTATGAAACCTATTCATCCCAATGGCCTGGTTTATGGACATTTAGAATCAACTCCTCCTAATCTCTCACAAATCGATAGACGTGATTTGCGCTATCATGTTTCATACGAGTTTGCAAGTGATATGTTCCCGTTATTACGCTAAAGTATGAATTGAAGGAGTACAATTTATCAATTAATTTGAACTGGAAAAACCTAATCCACTATTCACTATGCATCAACCGGACTAATTAGTACCAGAAGATCTTTGACATGACTTGGGTTTTCTAATCTTTTTGATGAAGTAAGCTATCAATAAAACTGGTGTGTGAACGCTTTTGACCGAGGAAGAGAAACCTGTCAGAAAAATAATTGGGGTTACACAGTACCCAATCAATCTATCTAACAGATGGTAATGACAATACTCATTCAGCCGTATGCATTTCACTTTACGATGAAGTGAACTACTTGAACATATACACACAATGTTTGGATTGACAGTCTAAGCTTCCGAAATTCAAATTGAATGCATCGACGTGGTAGAATAAGCCTCACATCACAAATTATATGTACTTCGGGTGTGCCAACATCAGAGGCACTTGTGTATACGCATTACACATTTGATATAACACTGACTTCGGTTCGTTGGTTGTTGATCGTCGTTGTTTTGATTAAACTCGTGCAACATGACTCCTACTTTTAAAATACATTTCATTTGTCAATAGCGTTCGTATATATCGATAACTATGAATTAGTTGCGTTTAATTCGACCTTTGTCGCCCAATGCAATGTTCCTAGTCCTCTTCTATCACCGCTTGAATTTTGCGCGACCTTGGGTGACGCGATAAATTTGTAGTGGTTCAAAAGTAACAGTTCCGGATTTAAAAACGTATTTTATGCCAATCAGCTTGGTAGTTTACTCTCTCCGCTAAATGATTACCATTTCATGAGGATGTTTATTCTGGTCAATGCACACCATTCTAAACAGCTCATCTTTTTCATGTGGTGTAAAGCAGACCAGCCCGTGATTGTTTGGGGCTTAAAACAGCTAAGCATTGGGAGCAACAAGTCTGATGAAAGTCAGGGTGTTGCACGAGTTTGATCAATAATGCCTGTTTTATTTCATTGTTCCTGTGCAGTACTGGTCTTCGCACAAACAATAATCCCACAAGGCGGTTCTCGGTCGAGGATAATTGTTTATTGTAGATTGCAGTTGGGATATCACTAATTTGGCATAATTAACACAGAGATCTCCTCAGAAACATACCATCGCAGTTCCTGGCTGCACAACGGGTAATGAATGTAGCACTCGATAGTTTTTCTTTGACATACAGCTATTTGCCCTCGGTGGTTTTCTTGATTTTTGATCGTCGAAAGGATTCGCCAACTCTTTTGCCTACTACTCACAACAACAGGTATACACACGTACACAGATATATTTACATCATATGAAACAACTGTCCGCAATATAAGTGCAATTATTTTATGATCATAATTCATACTTTCTATTGTTATTATTGGAATCAATAGTGAGGGAGTACTGGTCAGTTTGTTATTCAGTCAGTGCAAACTTGAAGGAATTTACATTCAGTGGCTCGGACGAGAGTGATCAATTCGTCCTTTTGGGGTTACAGTTTGCGTAGTCACTGGATTACGTAACAGCAAAATTGACCAGTCTGATCATTCCGTGGCCATGGAAGTTGCTTAATTTGAATCAATTTGCATTCAGGTTTCGGCAGATGACTGCATTATTGGTCTATACTGTCGTCAGTGCTCAAAACACCTGTGATACTGAGTTGTTCGATGGAACCCCGTTAGACTACAATGAGTTGAATGCCCCGTTTCTACTCGGTGAGCCGGAATGGACTTTAAAATGACATCGGCGCTTAAGGCTACCTGGTTGAAGCACTTCCACTTCCATAGCTAAAACAACATGATCATGGTGATGATACTGGTTCTTTATTACTATTATTATTATTATTAATACTATTGTTATTACGTGACATTAATACTAATATTGTTGCGTAATATTAATTATATGGCGAATTTTGTCATATGTAGAGCAACCTGAGGATCGAACCCGGGACCTCACAGACACAATGAAATGAACTGTGTACAAGGAAAACAAATGATTGTTTGATCAGCTCCTCAGTTGTCAAGTGAGTAGTACACTGGCAATTCTAGCTGCGAGGTAACGGGTTGGGTGAATTTTCGTTACTAACGCGATCCTTCCAGATGAAAACAGTTGTCGAGTGCTTCTTAGCTTTTCAATTCATGCTCTGTTCCAGTAACCCAAGCTGGAGAACCAAGTGGATCATTGTCTCGTCCCACTTCCCGAGTCAAACAACTGAACAACTTAACTGAGTCAGTTTTTCTTTACCAAATGAAAACAGCCAGTATGGATCAACAAAACAAAAGAGAAATCAGATCTACCAAGTGCTTTG